CTCTTCTGTAAAATGAAGTGGTTAGATCACATAGCCTCTGAGCTCTTATGTAACACTACATGATTCTACAACATCCATTGAGAGGGACTGATGCTCCTGAAATCGTGTCCTCTTCAAGCTTGCAATAATATACCAATACTAACACTTCTTACCCCACAGTGTTTAAAGCCCTTTGTATGCATTCTTTCACTTTATTCTTAAAATGACCCTGGTATAAGACACAGCAGATATCACTCCCATTTTACAGGTGAGGGAAGTTAAATGATCTGTCCAAAGTCAAACAGGTTATGAGCAATGAAGCAAAGATTAGGACCCAGGTCTTCTGTCTCTTAATCTAGATCAGAGGAGGAGAACCTGTGGCCTTGATGTCACATGTGGCCCTCTAGGTCCTCAAGTGCAGCCCTTTGACTGAATCCAAACTTCACAAAACAAATCTTCTTAATAAAAGGATTTGTTCTACAAAACTTAGACTCAGTCAAAAGGCTGCAGTCAAGGACCTAGAAGGCCATATGTGGCCTCAAGACCGCAGGTTCTACACCCCTGATCTAGATTTTAAGCTCTTTGTAGACAGGGACTCTGTCTAAGAGTATGTCTAAAAGTCTAGCTAGAAACATAAGCCATTATTGAATCCCCACAGCATCCAGGGACCGCATGGTGTGAGGCATGTTGCAAATGCTCAGTAAAGATGTGTTGATTTATCTTCTGTCTATAGACTTCTTTGCTCTATGATTGATTGACTTTTTATTTATCAACTTAAATAAAAATGGAAATGACACTGTATTTGTTTTGAAATAAATATAGGGTCATGTGTGATTTACATTTGATAAATGATAATATCTGAATTATAATTTGTTGTTGTTGTGAGTCATTTCAGTCATATCTGACTCTTTGTGACCCCATTTGGGGGTTCCTTGGCACAGATACTGGAGTAGTTCGCCATTTCCTTCTCCAGCTCATTTTATAGATGAGGAAACTGAGGCAAACTGAGGTTTATTTTTTTTAAGTGATTTGCCTGGGGTCACATAGCTAGTAAGTGTCTGAGGCCAGATTTGAGCTCAGAAAGACAAGTCTTCCTGACCTCAGGCCTGGCTCTCTATTCACTGTGCCACCTAGCTGCCCCATAAAGAAAACATGACAAATACATAGTTTTTTATTCATTTCAGTCATGTCTGACCCTATTTGGGGTTTTCTTTTTTTGATTTTGATTGTTTTTTTGGCTAGGCAATGGGGTTAAGTGACTTGCCCAAGGTCACACAGCTAGTAAGTGTTATGTGTCTGAGGCCAGATTTGAACTCAGGTCCTCCTAACTCCAGGGCCAGTGCTCTATGTCCTGTACCACCTAGCTGCCCCTATTTGAGGTTTTCTTGACAGAGATACTGAAGTGGTTGGCCATTTTCTTCTCCAGCTCATTTTACAGACAAGGAAACTGAGGCAAACAATATTAAGTGACTTGCCCAGGGTCATACAGCTAATAAATGCCTGAGGCCAAATTTGAACTCAGGAAGATGAGTCTTCTTTCTAGGCCCAACACTTTATACATTGAACCACTTAGCTGCCCCACTATACTATAACAAAGGTAACAAATGATTCAGAGACGAAAGTTGCAAAATGAAAGAAAATACTGGAATTAAAGAACTTGAAAGACTTACGTGGCTCTTTGCCATGCCTCCATTCAGGCTTCAGCTACAATAATAAAGACAATCTTATTTTTGGAGACTTTCAAGGAAAGAGGTTTCCTGAACTTTTGGTTTATATAAGTGCCTTAGGGTTTGAAAGTAATTTCCACAAATTAATTCAAGTGAGCCTTAAAATAACTCTGTGAGGCAGATACAATTATTGTCCCCATTTTACATTTGAGAAAACTGAGGCTCAAAAAAAAGTTTAGTGACAACTTAGGGGCTGGGGTTACAAAACTAGTAAGTGTCTGAAACAGGATTCAAACTCTGGTCCAGCACTGACTCCAAGTCCAGCACTCAAAACATTACAATGAATATATACTACATTGCCTTTCCATACCTAGGGAACAGAAGTTTCCTATTCCAGAGTTAAAGAACCCTTACAGTCAGAGATGTTTTTCCAGATTCAATATAACCAAAACCTATCCTACTTCAGCTTAAGAAATCCCCACTAGAACTGCCCTCTCAACAACAACAAAAAAGTAAATATGCTCACCTCCTACAAATTCACACCTTAACTTTATCTTTGTCAAGATATGTAATCCCATAAATGGTCAAAGGATATGAATAGGCAGTTTTCAGAGCAAGAAATTACAGCTATCTATATTCATATGAAAAAATGCTCTTAAGTCACTATTGATTAGAGAAATGAAAATCAAAAAAACTCTGAGGTACCACCTCATGCCTATCAGATTGGCTAACATGACAAAATAGGAAAATAATAAATGTTGGAGAAAGTGTGGGAAAATTGGAACACTAATGCATTGATGGTGGAGTTGTGAACTAATTCAACCATTGTGGAGATCAGTTTGGAACTATGCCCAAAGGGCTATAAAATTGTGCATACCCTTTGACCCAGCAATACCACTTCTAGGACTGTATCCCAAAGAGATCATAAAAATGGGAAAAGGACCCACATGTACAAAAATATTTATAGCAGCTTTTTCTGTGGTGGCAAAGAATTGGAAATTGAGAGGATGCCCATCAATTGGGGAATGGCTGAACAAGTTGTGGTATATGAATGTAATGGAATACTATTGTGCTATAAGAAATGATGAGCAGACAGACTTCAGAAAAACCTGAAAAGATTTGCATGAACTGATGCTGAGTGAAGTGAGCAGAACCAGGAGAACATTGTATACAGTAATAGCCACATTGTGTGATGATGGACTTTGATAGACTTAACTCTCCTCAACAATACAAGGATCTAAGACAACTCCAAAAGACTCATGATGGAAAATGCTATTCACATCCAGAGAAAGAACTACGGAGTCTGAATGCAGATTGAAGCATACTATATTCTCATTCTCTCTCTCTCTCTCTCTCTCTCTCTCTCTCTCTCTCTCTCTCTCTCTCCCCCCCCCCCCATTTCTTCTCTCTTGTGGTTTTTCCTTTTGGTTTTAATTCTTCTTTGCTACATGACTAATGTGAAAATATGTTTAATAGGAATGTATATGTACAGTCTATATCAGATTGCGAGCTGTCTTGGGAAGGGAGGTGGGGAGGGAGGGGGAGAAAATTTAAAACTCAAAAACTTATGGAAGTGAATGTTGAAAACTAAAAATAAATGAATGAATTTTAAAAAATATGTAATCCCAAATCCTTTAACCTTTCACCTCTAATTTTCAAACCTCAGCATTTCGACTGATCTCCTCTGAACCCTTTCCAAATCCCATTTAAATTGTAGAGCCAGGAAACTAGGCACAGAATTCTTGTACAGGTCTGACCAGTCCTGAATAGAGTTGGAGGATTATCTTAGAGCTTTTCCATGCTTTCTTTCATCTTTTTTTATTCACTGTTTCCCTCCAATCACATTTGTTTCAAAAGTCTTATTGCATTTTCTGTTTAATAGTATGGAGTAAGGTTCTCTATGGCCCCAGGATCCTTTTCTGACCATTAGCAAAATAAAAATCTCCTAATTTGCCATTGTGCAGTTAATTTCATTTTCTTCCTAAAGTAGGTTGATTGCCCTGCCCAGCATCATTCAATGTGCTTCGCATAACTTCTCTAATTTATACATGAAGCACAATCTGAATCTTCATCCTCATCCTGTTCTCCAGAAGGATAGGCTGGTTTCCATTTAAGGAGTGTGCTAAGCTTTTGGACTAAAGTCCTGTGATACATGGGCTGGATTCTAGTTCTGGCTCTCTTTATACAGGTCTATTTTTAACCTTAAAGGGATGGAATCCCTTCTTTATGCTTTCATTTTCCCAACTATAAAAATAATGATATCTTATTCCCACCCCCTGCCACAAGTAAAAGCTTTTCTCCCTTTCCTTGGAGCCCTTATACCCCCTTAAAACTCAACTCCAGTGTTACCTCCTGCCCAGGGCCTTTCCTGATCCCTGCCTCAGTTGTTAGTATCACCTCCTCCCCTTCCCCCCAATCACTTTATATATACTTACTTATCTACACACATGCTGAATTACCTGTGGACATTTACATCTCCACCAGTAAAAGGTAGGCTCATTTAGGACAGTGACTGTTTTCATTTTGGTCTTTGTAGCATGAGTGTCTAGCACAGTACCTACCACATTGTTAGAGTTTAATAAATGCTTGTTGAAGTGAATCAAATTGATTTTTCCCCAAAGGAATACCTGTGTCTTTTTGCCACCTCTGCTCTGAAAAGCAAAAATTGGCAGGAGAAGATGGACGTTCATTATTGGAAAGTTGTCTTGGAAAAATGGCTACACAATCCCTGAGAAGACACTTAGTAAAGGGAACATCCCTCATCTATCTGCTTTCCCTAGGGAAACAGAAGCACGCCTCTTTTGGGTTTACATGTGCTCTTGGGGTTTTCCTCAGCATTTACCTCCCATCTTTAGCTGGAAGGTAGAAACACCTGCAATACATATTTCCCAAAGTTCCAAATTTCTGAGCTGCTAATCTTTCTATTGTGGCTAAGTTCTAAATGCTGCAAGGGAAGGGTTAAAGTGTTTCCTGAACCAGGTTACTATCTGATAAGAGGAAATTCTCAACAATGGAAACACTCACAACTGGAAGGCTGTGAAGGGAGGAAGGTACCAGGGAGAACACAGCCTCCATTAAAGATATAAGCAAAGGATGTATGAGAATGAATGTATCCCTAGTGTCAACAATAATGAAAAGAGAAAGTCTCAAGCGGCTTCAAAGGATTTTTTAATTCTCTCCCGACTGAAAATGAGTATTAACTAATTGGAAATTATTAACACATTCCTTAAAATACTTGGAAATCTCACAGGCAAACCCAAATGTTACCATTTGCTTTCTTTAAAAAAATTTTTTTTTAAATTGATAGCTTTTGTTTTTAGATAACTTTACTTTCAGAATATACCCCCTCTCCCTTCCCCACCCCAGGGGGCTACACTTTGTTTTAAAAAAAGAAAAGAACGAAAAAGGGAAGGAAGGAAAGGCAGCTCAGCAAAACTAATTAACATATCAATGTTGTCTTAGGGTAAGTCTATGTTCCACACAGTGGCTCCTTACCCAGGTAGATAAGGAAGGGAAGTTTCCAAATATTTTCAAGAATGAAATTGCTATTAGCAATTAATTACTAATTGTACCAGTGAAGAAGTGACCTTTTATTTTAGTCAAATACTAACTAAGTGTCATTCTCTGTCCTGGGGACACTTGCAGAATGGACTGTTGTCCATCGTTTTCATGGGATCATAGACGTGAAACGGAACTCAGAAGCCTTCTAGTCCAAACCCCTCAATTTACAATAGAAGAAACTAGAGACAAGAAAGATGAAGCGAAGTCGCACGGGCTCCAAGAAACACAGGTGGAATTCGAATCCAGCATCTGTGACTGCAGAACCACTGTACCACACTGCTTTCCCTCCAATTGCAGCTCCCGAAGAAATGCACGTGAGCGCACACACAAAGTGGAAACACTCCCATTCCATTTGATTACCATTTAACAAACAATAAAAACCAAATCTCTTCACTGCCTGGGTGGCGGGCCTCCACACAAGGCCCTCAGAGCAACTTTCTTGGCCAAAAGATAGAGCTTAACTTCATTTTTTTTTTTTTTTTTAAAGAGAAGCTTAGCATATGTTAACTGTCCCTGGATACCGGCACCCGCTGGAGAGTTAAGAATGGAAAGGTAGCGCGCCCTCACCTTAATGTTGCTGAAGATGGTCCGCTGACAGCTGGTGAGAGTGTTCCCGCCCCGGGATTTGCTCTGCTCAGGTAAGAGTTCCATTCTCAGGCTTAGGGTCACGGGAAAAAGTCCTCTCACAGAGCTGATGGACGGACGAGTCCCCCTCCTATCTATCCTCTCTCTTCTGCTGCTGGTCCCCTCGCTTCAAAATCAGTTAGATTGTTTGTGGCAGGAAGAGCACAGAGTCTGCTCTGCTCTCAGTGGCTATAGGGGAGGAGGGAGACAATAGTAAAGTGGCTGTCTTCCCCTGGCCAGGAGTTTCGCGGCTAAGTCAGAAATGAACGCTGTCCAAGTGTGTGAGAGTTATTGGATTGCCTGAGTGAGTGAGCGAGAGAGAGTGAGGTTAAAGTTTTTATAAGTCAGGACTCCGAGGCTGATGATGAAACTTTTCCTCCTCCCTCTTTCTCTTCGTGTGTAAAGGAACTTTAAAGGCGCAGAGAATCACTACGGCACCCATCCCTGGGGACGCACACGCCCCTCCCACTCCCAGGCAGGTGTGACTCAGTTTCTGTCATCTAGTTCTAACCTCTGGAGATGTAGGCAAAGGAGTTTTCTTTTCTCCCGCACAGCAGGGAAATCAGGGCTCAGGAGCTGGGTTTTAGCAGGGGGGAAACAACGAACACCTCTCTTTTTGGGAAGAGTAACGTACGAAGCGGTGGAAGGGGTGGAAGAGAACGCTGCAGTGATCGAGTTTGGTTTATACATACTTTCATGTATGCAGTTTATTTTTTTTATTTTTTCATTCAAAAGTGACAAGTTGGTAAGAGGGAGGAGAGAGGCAAAGGGGGGGCCAGGGAGACTACTCCTCAAAGAGGTAAGAATGAGCCCTCATCCCTCCCCAGCCTTACAGAGACTTACAGAGATTTACTTGCTTTAGACTCTGCTTGTTTTCACTTGCAGCAAACCTGCGTTTTTAAAGTTCCGGAGGTAGTCTCTTTCTGAGATCTCACTGGGCTTTTGTTTGTGCAGAACAGTGATTTATATTTGAACTGTTCTGTGCCCACGAGAGGACGGTGTGGGGGTAAGAAAGATCTAGAGAATAGATGCAAGCGAGGGGGTAAACTTGAGGGTTTTGAAAAGGAGCCAGAATTAAATTTGAATATTTTGTAAAATGTCAGACGGCCCTTGCAGAGCCTGCAGCCTCACATTGGGAGCAGAGCTGGGAAGACAAATGAAAACAGAACGGTTGGCTAACCGCTGTAAGCGGTTGTAAGCCGCTGGCTCACAAGCCCCTAATACTTTTTTTTTTCAAAGCTACAGTCAGAATGTTTATTTCTTCTCCAGTGTCTTGGCTATTAAGGTACTGACCACAAAGGAGAGAAAGAAAATATTTTACGGACAAGAAAATCTTAAGGAAAAAAATTACAGCAATTTACAAATCCAGTCTTCAATTTATTTCCCTAGGCATCTCCATGTCCCACATAGGTTTCTCTACTGAAACACATTCAGCCTCCTCCCCACTTTGCTCCTCTCATTCTCTTCCAGCATTTTTCTGGGCAAAGAAAAAACAAACTACAGTTTACTAATAACACACCCCAGCTTCTCACCATCTATATTTCTTCCCCCTTCTTTCTCCCCCCCATCTTTCTCAGTCTCTGTCTCCTTTTTTTTCCTGTCTCTTTCTTTCTCTATGTCTATGTGTATTTAAACCTAAAAGCAAATAGAAAGGATTAAGCAAGTTCATTTGTGAATTTTTAGGCCTCAATGCTTGAATTCTTTTTTTTAATGGGGGTGGGGGAGGGGAGGGAGGAACATGCTAAGCCAGTCTAGCAAACATTTCCATCAGCTTTCTGGCCATAAGATAAACTTTTACTTGATTGAGAAACTGGCATTTTCCAAAAGGCACTGTCTAGAGAAATCTCAATTTCCTTCATAGGTTCACAAATGAGAAGCTGAAAATTCTTGCTGCTGTTTATCCTTTGTTCTTGAAGAGTAGACTCTAGGGAAATGATTCTTAACCTGGGGTCCATAGACAAGAGGTCTGTGAATAGATTTCAGGAGGTCCATGAACTTGGGTGGGAAAAATTGCATCTCGATTTTCACTGATCTTTAACTGAAATTTAGTATTTCTTTCCATTATTTAAAAACATTATTGAAGTAAGGGGACCATAGGTTTCATCAAACTACCAAAGCTATCTATAAGAACCCTAGCTTTAGAAAGACCATCTAAGGCTATAGGACAGACCTGAATCTAGACAAGGCAATTGAGAAGTAATCCTACTTCTGAAGATCACCTGGATAGAAGATTCCATCACCACTACCAGTAGTGTGGTGTGGGGTGTTAAAAAGAATTTTTGGTAGGGACACAGGGGTTCAAATGCTGACTTCCCCTTACAGCTTTCGTCACCTTAAGTAACAACCTCTCTCAACTTGTGTTTCCTCCACTCTAACATGATGAGATTGGACTGAGTTAAATATAAGATCCTATGATTTTCCCCAACTGGTTCTCAGTAGCTCTCAATGTCACAAAGTCATTCCTTCAGCAATTCTGAGAAAAAAAAAAAAGACATGATAATTTTGAAGGACTGTTGTAATTTCTAACCAAGACTCCTTTTCTTTAGCTTGTTCGGGATGGGGATAATAAATACTTGACCAGAGCCACAGCTGAGCATAGGAGGCTGTTCTCCGTGCACCTGCACTGAATCCCTGCCTTAATCATGTCTATCTATCAGGAGAAAAACCTCCCAGGCTTTGTCTGGTGCCGGTGCTGTGGCTTTGGGTGGGAAAAACTTTCTTGTCTCCCTCCACTTACAAAGATAATAGATTCTATTTATTACATATATAACAATTCTCAGAGCTGCTAGAAGCATCAGGTGGCATAATGGAGAGAGAAAGAGTTGCAAGAAGGGTCAAGCCCTGCCTCAGACACATACTGTCTTTAGGAGCCTAGCAAGATCCTTTCAGGGTCACAAGTAACTCTCAGAGCAGGTGCTGATTTGCATTGGTAAAAGTAATTTCTCACTGGGATTTCCTTAGGCCAGAGGTGTCCATATGTGGCCCATCGACAGCATTGCTGACCCCCAACACTCCCAAGTGGCAGCTAGGTGGCGCAGTGGACAGAGCACTGGGCTTGGAATCAGGAAAACTCATCTTTCTGATGTCAAATCTGGCCTCAGACACTTAGTAGGTGTGTGACCCTGGGCAAGTCACTTCACCCTGTTTACCTCAGTTTCCTCATCTATGAAATGAACTGGAAAAGAAAATGGCAAACCATTCCAGTGCATTTGCCAAGAAAACCCCAAATGGAGTCACAAAGAGTATGACAATTGAAATGACTCAACAACAACAACAACCACTCCCAAATGGTGCCTGAACCAGATTAAAGTGTAATTGGGAAATATTTAGCAAAATACATAAAAATACAATAAAACATAGATAATGTTAGTATGTGATTTTCTAAGTCAATATGCACCTGCAGGGATCCATTTGTACAGTCTGGTGACTCCATTACTATTTGACGCCACTGCCCTAGAACAATGAAATTCAATTTAAAAAGTTCAGTTAAAAAAATAGTGGTTTCATATATCATTGTCTGGAAAAGCCTTTCTTGATAACATCAACTATGAGCACTGTCTCTCAAACTACTTTATATTTAATTGCTTTGTATATGTTTGTATTTACTCACTTTATATTTACTCTTCATATACTGGTTAGTGTATTTGTTGTCTCCTCCTCCATTACAATGTTATCTCCTTCCAAATAGGACTGTTTCCTTCTTTATACTTGTATCTCCCCAGTACCTAGCACAGTGTAGATAGAGTAGGTCTTTTTAAAAATGCTTGTTGATCAATTGGGTAATATTTATTTTCATTTAGGTGAGGTAAGTATTTTACTACTCGTTATCCCCCCCTCCTTATGTCATTATCCCCCTTTTGTTGCTGTTCAGTCGTTTCAGTCACGTCTGACTCTTCCTGACCCCATTTGGGGTTTTCTTGGCAAAGATACTGGAGTGGTTTGCAATTTCCTTCTCCAGCTCATCTTATAGATCAGGAAACTGAGGCTAACAGGATCAAGTGACTTGCCCAAGGTCACACAGTTAATAAGTGTCTGAGGCTGGATTTGACCTTAGGAAGAGGAGTCTTCCAATTCCAAGCCTAGTGCTTCATTTTACAAATGAAAAAAACCCGGAGCCCAGAGATGCTGAGTGACTTGCCAAAAGTCAAATAGGTCTTGAGCATCAGAGGCAGGATTTGAACCCAGGTTCTCTCACTGAAGCTCTTTCCATTCAACCACTCTAGGAAATTGCCCAGCATCCTGTACCTTGTGAATGATGGAGGCTCAAAGATGAAATCAAGCAGTCCCTGCCCTCAAGAAGCTTCCCATCAGGCAGCTCACCACTGGAGGATATGGCCCTTTCCACCCCATCTCACATAACCTGCCGCAGAAAAAAGCCTGACATACAGATAAGGAAACATCCTCCAAAGAGATGGAAGAGAAAATCAGTCTGTGTCTCTTTCTCACCTTGGGAAAAGATATCAATTCCCTCAGTGCCAGGTATGGAGCCTTTGAGAAACTTTTGTATCCTCAAAGGCCTTTACTCAATTCCCCCTCGGCCTTCTTTTTTTCTAAGCTCAATAAACCCAGTTCTCAGAACCCAGTTCTCTGTTCTTTTCTACTTCTCCGCCTATGCCTTAAGCTCTGCTCTTCCTGCAGCTGACTTCTCATATCTTCATGGCCTAAACTAGAAATAAAACACTAGTAAAGGGCCAACCAATGGTTAGAGACTTCCACCCTTCACTCTGGCTATAAACCCCACCATCATCTTTGGGATGTTGATCATTGTCTTTCTTTGCTCCTTTAGTATGTACAAACTTAGCTTTTCTTCAAAACCCAGTGCCTTGATAATAAGCTAAGAATCCAGGCCATTACCAGTAGCCACATCTGAAGTCCTTATTCACAGATACACTTTCATGCTGAGCTCCTGAGCTGGCCTGTGGCCACCTTTGCACACTTACACACAGAGCAGCTGATAAAGGCCCAACTTGGCTCAAGGAGTGGCTACCCTTAACAATTTAAATACCTTTGTGTAATGAGATATTAACTCTCTGTCTTCTGAGGGCTTTTTAGCTGCTGGTTCCAGCATTCCCCAATCACTCTTGTGTACCTTGGGATACTACCCCCACCCCATGCACGCACACGCGTACACAGACACAGACACAGACACACACACACACACACACACTCACACTCTCAATAGGCCAGTATTTAAGTCACCCCCCCAATCCAAGTTTGCCTCAGTTTCCTCATCTGTAAAGTGAGCTGGAGAAAGAAATGACAATCCACACCCCAATCCAGAATCCCTCCATTGACTACTCCAGATCTATGAACCTAGGAGCCTCTGACAGAGCCCAGCCTGCTGCATTCTAACTTAATAATCAATGAGGATTTATTATTATTAAGGGCCTCCTATAGGCCAGGCACCATACTGGGCATCAGAGGAATGCCAAAACAACAATGAACTCTTCCCTAACATTATTGCCATTTTTTTTTCACCTTGATTAAAATAAGAGCTGACATAGAGCAAGTTATCAGTTCAATTCAGTTCAACAGGCACGTATTAAGTATCTAATCAGTACCAGGGGCTCAGTAAGGTGTCCAGGGTGCAAAGATAAAATCAAGCGGTCCATATCCTCAAGAAGCTTCCTATCAGGCCGCTGACCACTGGAGGACATGACCCTTTCCCCACCATCTCACATAGCCTGCAGCAGAAAAAATCCTGATGTGCAGATGAAGAAATATCCTCCAAAGAGGCAGAGGAGAAAATCAGTCTGTGCCTCCTTCTCATCTTGGGAGAGGAGATCAACTCCCTCACTGCCTCCGGATACACTAGGTTCTCTCTCCTCTGTATTCCTGTAGTTCAATGACTGGCCCAAACTATTCCACTCCTTTACCCTTATAGGAGATAGGGACTAAACCTGTGATTTCATTGATTTAGGAAACTCACCAATGGGGGAACTCCCTTTACCAATGTAGTTTTGCACTGTTTCTGAAACTTATTGTCTCATAATTGCTTAAAGAGCTAAGAGTCTGAATGAGTCCAGGGTCACCCTAGCAGAGGTGAGGCTTGAACCAGCTATTTCCTGCCTCTTTTTTTATTATATCACAAAGCTCTCTCTCTCTCTCTCTCCTTCTCTCTGTCTCTTTCTGTCTCTCTGTCCCTTGTCTCTCCTTTCTCTGTCTGCCTCTCTCTCCTCCTCTCTCTCTCTCTCCTCCTCTCTCTCTCTCTATGTGTGTCTCTCTGTCTCTGTCTGTCTCCCTCTCCATCCTTATACTGTAGTTATTTATGTAGCTATTATATGTATCTTGGCTCTCCTACTAGATCATAAGCTCTCTGAGGGCAGGTATGGTATTATGTATCATCTTTGGATCCACTAAAGCCTAAGTCTTATGCTAGGCTTATGCTAGGCTAGCATAAGACTTCAGTAAATATTTGTTGAGTGTTCAGAAGAAGCTAGGGGACTTAGTGAATAGAGCTCTGGGCCTGGAATCAAGAAGACTTGAGTTCAAATATGACCTCAGACATAGCTGTATGACCCTGGGTAAGTCACTTAACCCTGTTTGCCTCAGTTCCTCATCTGTAAAATGAGCTGGAGAAGGAAATGACAAACCAGTATCTTTGCCAAGAAAACCCCAAATGGGGTCACAAAGAGTTGGACACTACTAAAATGACTGAACAACAACAAAGGGGAAATAATGTTTAATTTCTAACGGTGCTTGTAATTGTTATCCCTTAATGGAGAAGGAATATTCCAAGCACCCTTATTTCTCCTAGACTAGTACTATTTAGGGAGGAAGATAGATGTATCTCTAGGCTAATACTCCCCTCTCTCTGAGAAGAGGAGAGTCACCAACTTCTTACCCCAATCTACTACTTCCTCTCCCGGTAGGAGAAGGGTCTAGGGACATCTACTCATGCATCCCTGTGAGCCTCATCTAGACCAGTATGGAAATATATAACCTACATGGGCAACACATATACCTCCTCAAAATTAGCATCTGCTCTGCCAGTTAGGGCCTTACACAGTTTCCTAGGCCATTGAGAGGTAAATTGATTTGCCCAGAGTCACTCAACCAATATGTGTCAGAGGCAGGACATTAACTCAGATCTTCCTGGCTTTAAGGTCAAACCTCTATTACTCTTCATCTCTCCTTGCTAAGATGTTTGAGTATTACCTTCCTACCATTTTTTCAGAAATTGGAGCCTCTCTTCCACCTCTTTCAATAGAATATAAGTTCCTTGAGAACAAGGTCTATAGTATTTAGTTTTTAATTTTTGAAGCCCCAGTAGTTTGCACATGGTGAGCACTTAAGAAACATTCTTCGAATTGTATTTCCTGCCTATTCCAACTCCAAGTAGCAAGAAGATGAAAGATGCCCTATAAAACCGGCAACTACTTTTCCCTTTGGTGTTCTCTTATTTCCAATGTCTTTATTCAATAACTGCCTCCCCATAGAGTGGGAAAACGATCCCACTGTGTATAACTGGTGACTTTTCCAAAAAAGCAAGCAGTATGAAATAGAGATTCACCGTTGTATACGCAATCTTCATTTTGTGTTTAGCTATGTATATGGAAATATTCTTTTTGTGTTAAAGTTTAAAATTTTAAAAAAAGAAAAAAAATTAAAAGAAAGAAAATGATACCACTTCATTTTTTACTCTTAATGGTGTGTTCATTTTAAGGAATTTTTTTAAAGCACTGATTTATTTCTACCCATTTAAGGATTAGATGTGGGGATGGTTGTTTTAATGGTCTTGGGTTTAATTGTTTAAAGGGGGCAGTTACTTTTGCTCTGCTCATTGTCAACAGACTGCTACTATACCCCAGAATTCATGGTGATCAGTATGGATCAGAGAAGAGAGGGCCCAGTTAAAGACCAGTTTCTACCACACTCTTGGGAAATCAGCTCAAGGCAAAACCAGAGAACAGTGGACACCTTGACCACAATACCGTAATGGAAGACAACTTTGAAAGACTTCAGAATTCTCATTAAGACCAATCATGACCTCTGAAGACTGCTAACAAGGCTTGCTTCCCCTTGTTGGCAGAATTGTAATGGACTGGAGCTATGGAATCAGACCTACATTTTCAGATATAGCTAATATGTTAGGGAAGACTTCCGGCTGGGGAGCAGGAGAGGAAGTGAGCAGGAAATGTTTGAAGTGGGGAAAAAAAAAAAGAAGAAAAAAGCATATAAAACATTTAAAAGACATAGAAGAAAACAAAAAGAAGTTCAAAAGAACATTAAAAATAGGGCAATTTTATGATTACCTTATTAAATTTTATACAAATTTTTAAAAAGAACAAAAGTTCATGATTTCCATTTTTTTTTTGCTCTCCCTCTTGTGCTGAATGTTTGTGCTTGTTGATGTTTGCTAAGTTCATAATAAAAAAGTAAATTCTTTTTAAACTGGGGGGAGGGAGGAAGACAACCAACTCAAGGACTGTTCCTTCTGGATGGCATGTCAGTATCATCACCTTTGAACACCAAGGACAGCACGTTCTGTCCAAAACCTTGGTGGAAGGAAAGGGACACATGATGATCTTTGGGGCCCCTTACTACTCTAAGAAGATATGTGGAGAGAAATAGCTTTGAGCCTGGTTAGACAACCCTAGTAGCCCTTTCAATATCTTGTATAATAGGCTTTTATATTCATTATTCATAACAAACCATGAAGTCTTTCTCCACCTTAAAATGGAAGGGCTGGACTATGGAGGGATCCAATGGAAAGAATGCTGGGTTTAGGGTCAAAGGATGAAGGTTTGGAGCCTCCAAGCTTAAGTCCCTTTCAGTTCTACCATTCTCTGGCAGTGAGGTGTATCTGAAAGAGCAATAAACTTGGTCAGGCATGTGGGTTTGAATCTTGGGGTGTGGTGCTGTAGTGTGATCCTTGACAAGCTACTTCCCCTACTCTGAGCATAGCCTTCCTCATCTGTAAAATGGGGATCAAAATACTTTCTTACATAAAGGGAGGATGTAAATGTGAGTCATTGTGATCTCCTTTTCTCAAGTATGTATCTATACTTAGACTCACACTTCAGGAGATCAGTTATTTCATCCTAGGGGGTACTTCTTCCATCCAAGCCAATCCCTATGCCTCTTGTGTATTCTTGGTTAACAGTATTCATAAATCATTGAGGCTAAAATCTTCCATCACTTGGTGGCCATCAATAAGCCCCTTCAGATTCAAATAACTATCAATTGGGGAATGACTGAACAAATTCTGGTGTACGAATGTAATGGAATACTATTATACTATAGGAAATGATGAGCAGGCAGATTTCAGAAAAACCTGGAAAGATTTGCATGAACTGATGCTGAGTGAAGTGAGCAGAACCAAAGAGGACATTGTACACAGTAACAGTAATATTGTGCGATGTTCAACTATGGTTGATTTAGCTCTTCTCAGCAATACGATGATACAAGATAATTCCAAAAGACTCATGATGAAAAAGGCTGCCCACAACTAGAGAAAGAACTGATTGCAGATTGAATCATATTATTCTAACTTTTTTGTTTCTTTCATAATCTTTTCTTTTCTATTTCTTCTTTCATAACATGACTAATGTGGAAATATGTTTTTTGTGATTGCACATATATAACCTATATCAGATTGTTTGTTGTCTTGGAGTGGCAAGGGAGAGAGGGAGAAAAATTTGGACCTCAAAATCTTTCAAAAATGAATGTTGAAAATTGTCTTTACGTGTAATTGGTAGAAATAAAATACAATTAAATTAAAAAAAATTCAGCTAAACTGTGGCTTGGACAGACTCATCACCAGGTCTATACTTGAAGCTCTATCTTGGTAGGACTTTCCAGAGCTTGCATTCCACTGAGCTCTCTTTTGAGAATCCAGGGTAACCTCCATAGGCCACACATCAAAACAGGACTTTCTGAGTAGAGGATTGTTTGCTCTCTACTATTATCCTTTTGTACTTTGCTCTCCTCTTGCTCTGACAATCCTTTACCTATTTAACCCATTGTCTCTTCTTTTTAGAAGCTTCTCTGGAGCCTTCTCTCCATCCCAGAACCTGCTCACTCCCTTGCTGCCATCTCTCATCTACCCTCATTAGTGGTAGCTGAATGACCTAACCATGACCCTCTAGTTCTTTTCTTATTTCACTTTTCATGTTCAGTATTTCTTTCCCTTTGTTCTGTGGAAGCTTCCCTTCCCTTCAGCTAACCTCCATTAAAATTCATGGAGCTGGATGCTTTGACTTTTACCGTCTTTGCCTCTCTAGCATCTGTTGCCTCTACTTTTGTTTCCCTACTATTCACTTTTATTTTCCCTTGAACACATCAGTTGAGTGATCTTTCTCTCTTACCAATGTAGATCTACGTTGCCTTCTCTGCTCTGCCATATTGGTGAAGTCAAAAAGACATAGTCTCTGGGGTCAGAGAAACTGGATTCATAATCCTGCCTTTTCTTGGATACTGCTTGTGTCACCTTCAACAATCATTTACCTCCCTGAGCCTCAGTTTCCTCACCTGTAAAATAAAAATGTTGGACTAGAAGGCCTATGAGATCCCTTCCCCCTCAAAGTTGATGATTTGAGTCCAGTGACTACCAATCTTTCTTCAAGATGACTCTCAATGAGATTTTAGCTCAACAAAAGAGGAAGGATAGAGGAGTGTTGATGCCATGACATTTAGAGAATCGAGGATGTACCCTAGAGAAGAGAAGACTTGGTGGGTGGGGCATGCTAGAAGCAAAACATCTTATACAGGATAAAAAGTGAAGGAAACTATCCTTGAGACTTAATTGGTCCAAGGTGCTAAGGCTGTAGCTGTTGATGCAGTTTCTTAGTTGCCTGAGGCATGGAAAGTCTAGCTCATGAGGAGTCAGGACCCCTGACCCCTTGGATGTTCCACTGCCCTGCACACTAACACACCTTTCCCTTCTGACCAGATGTGTTTCTGTGTGGAAATGAAGAAAAGTGTCTGCCTGAACCAGTGCTCTATCCTCATGGAATATCCTTTCCATGCAACTGTTAAGTAAACCTTTTGCTAAATGTTAATCTATGAGTGTCTCATTTTATTCCAATCTCAAGTTGAACCGTTGGATCATCCTGAGTCAGCCCCAGACTAAAACAGTTGAAAAGGATAGTTGTCTTCAGATATTTGATGGGTAGTCTTGAGGCAGTAATATTAGATGTATTCTGTATAACTTCAGAGGATAGAACTATACCCAAAGAGTGGAAATAAAAAAAGGGCAGATTTTGTCTTAATTTAACAGATAATTTTCTCCTTGAGACGTAGTAAGTTCCCCATTACCAGAGCTCTTCTATGAGAAACTGAGTGACTATTTGTCAAAGATGTAGGTAGGTAGAAAGGAATAATAGAAGGAGCCTTGAATAGAACTTTTTTGTTGTTGTTCAGTCATTTCAGTTGTGTCTGACTCTTGGTGACCCCATTTGGGATTTTCTTGGCATAGTTACTGGAGTGGTTTACCATTTCCTTCTCCAGCTCATTTTACGGTGAGGAAACTGAGGCAAACAGGGTTAAGTGACTTGCCCAAGGTCACACAGCTATTAAGTGTCTGAGGCCAGATTTGAACTCAGGAAGATGAGTCTTTCTGATTCCAAGCCCAGTACTCTATCCACTGCACCATAGCTGTCCCAAATAGAACCTACCATATGAGTTTAAGTGACTGCTTTGACATTTAGTAGCTTTGTTATCCTAAATAAGTCACTTCCATTTCCTGGATCTCAAGTTTCCTCATCTGTATGTAGCGTACCACCTAACATAGCACAAAGGAGTAGGGGTAGATTTTTCCTGAAGTTCCTCCTAGCTCCACTATTCTAAAATTCTGTTAAGTACAAGCTCCCCAAGTAACAGAAAGAGCTGGTTCCCATTGTGTCAGAAACAGTGCAATTGAAGACAAGGGGAGATCCTTTCATTTCCCAGAGGGGCCTACTACACTACCCACACAAGCTAAAATCATGCCACAATAACTGAGCTGGGGTGGGAAGAGGAGACAGTCATTACCCAGAGAAGCCAATTGCCCCTAGCCAACTTGGGCCAATGGAGTTCGAGGAATCGTGAATCCACTGGAGATTGGGGAAGGGACTCTTTTACTTAGCCAGGAGTTTTCAAACTTCTGTTTCTTCCCCCACCCCACAGAAAAGTCTATTGGGAAGGACATCTCTCCTTATAAAATCAAAGATTCAGAGCAGAACGGGATCTTAGAGGTCATTGAATCCAACCTCTTCTTTTTACAGATAAGGAAAGTGAGATTCATAGAGGGGATGTGAGTTGACTAGGCCCACAAAGCTCCTAAGTGTCTGAGGCTGGATTCAAAACCAGCTCTTCCTGACTTGGAGATAAGGATAGCACCTATTTCCCAAGGTTGTTGCAAGTACCAAATGAAATAATATTTGTAATGTGCTTAGTACAGTATCTGGCACTTAGATCTATGTAAATACTAATTATTATTATTGTTGTTGTTATTATTAGCACCTATACCTGAAAACATTTCTATACCAATTTCCCTCACTTTCTTCCATGGGGATTTCTTCTTTGAAGTGAAAGAAAGGTGTCTTTCCCAAATGCCTCAAATGCAATCATAGAATCTTAAAGCTAGGAGATTCTTTAGAGATCATAAACTGAGGCCCATCAAAAAGAGGTGACTCTCCAAGGGTCACAAAGCTAATTGATGGCAGAGCCTCAGCTGGAGGTCAAATCATCTGGCACTGAGCCCCATCCCTTCTGCAACATTCTATAATTGCCATACAGTGGCTCCACCCAGTGCTTCTACACAGAAAGAAGAAGAGGGAAAAAAGAAACATTATTTAATTAAATGTAAACTTTTTTGTTCATATTATGTCTTTAAAATTTTCACTTCTAATAGGCTGAGCCTTAGTCTGTTCCTCATGCATAGTGCTCCATCTCCCATCTCTCCGTCCCCCATGCCTGGCATGCGTCCCCACCTCATTTGCACCTCAATGAATCTTTCTTTTCCTTCAAGACGCAGCTCAAGGACCAACTTCTACACCAAGCCTTTCTGACTTTAAATACTTTGTGTTTATGTGGTATTTATTCTGCATATTCTTACATATGCACATACTGTCTCTCCCATATGTGAGCCCCATAAGGGCAGGGTCTGTTCCATTTTTGTCTTTCTCTTCCTTTTGCCTCCCACAGTTCCTGAAACATTGTAGGAGCTTAATAAATGTTTATTGATAGATAGATCTGAAGTGGACTATGGTA